CATCCACTTCATCCTGACATTGGAATGAATGATATATTTTATTACTGAATATATAATTGTATATTAATATATATATATATGTGTGTGTGTGTGTTGTGTGTGTGTCACACCCTGTTTCCAAGGGTTTTCCAATCGTTTTACAAGCAGGGGGCGTAGCGTGTTCAGATGACTACGCCCAACGAAGCTAGTCTGAACACGGGATACCAGGATTGGCCATCCTGGCGTACCTGCGCTGATAGAACGTTTGACCACGCTGTGACTCCAATCTTTCTTTGTTTGTTTCCATGGCGGTTTCCACGATACTTCCCCCAAACCTTTTCCTCCCCAGCAGAGGTGCAGCTTGAGCCGCATTGTCACCGCAGTCGAGGGAAACAACTGATGTTAAAACACCTACAATTTCTCGGACTTTTCGCCATCCCGTTCCACCGCCATCCTTCCCATCGTGGCAATTGAGTTAACTGAAAACCAGTGTCAGAGTGTGAGCCGCTCAGTCTTCCCACTTGGGTGCTGGGTGTGACCCTCCGAAAGGAGGCGCCGTTACCATTCTGGAAAGCACAGGGTTTTGCGTTTATAACTGACTTTCTGTTCCTCTTTTCTGCAACTGAATTAACGGAACTTTGAGCCGCCGGGCTATAAACGACGGAATCCATCACTCGTACTGCACGTTCATGCATCACATGTCGTTCCCGCAATTTTTCCCAAATGTTTAAACCGCAGCCATTTGCTCAGCTTTGACACGTACCTCGAGATTTCGCACGGCATTTCATTTCATAGGTTTACCTCACCTTTCCATAGCAGACGATCCACTTGATCTCAGGATTTTATTGAGCTCTCCATTTTGCAAACCGTTCTTTTTCAGCTGCTGTGCCGCGCTGGCGCCATTCTGTGCAGCCTCCAACTTGCCGGAACGACTTCTCGACTGTTGTTCACATGCAGTATCCTTGGCCGTACCCGCAATGGCCATCTCCTTGTACCATGCCCACGGCGCCCATAGCTGGTGTCCAGCCAACGCCATGGCAACAATACCCATCAACAGTACCTCCACATATGGCTCATTTCCACCAACCTTCACCTACTTTTCTGGCACATGGCCCAACTGCCTCACACCACCTGCCGGCCCCCACGTGGCCACAACCTCCGCAACCACACATCCCACCTACACCGGCTTTCATGCCAACTCATCACACTTACCCTGTATTGCACCAGGCACCACCACCCACAGAACCACACATTTCTCATCCACAGGCATCACCACCATCACCGCCAGCTGCACCTCTGCCGCAAGCTCAGCAGACACCACCATCGACGCCGCAACCAGTATCCATCCATTGGGATCACTCTCAAGGCATTTGGCGACCATACTCACTTTTTCCACCAGTTGTCCACTCACCGACGCCTCATCAACCAGCACCAACTCCCGCTACTCCCTTATCGCCGGCTCCAACGCCTGCCAACTCAGTGGCTCCATCGCCTGCCCCAATTGATCAGGGTACCACACAGTCTTCAACCCCAACCTTGGGTGCCCCACAGCCTGAAACCATGGCGGTCGCCACTTCCACGCCTCCCGCCTCCACCCACACGGCCATTACAGCACCGACACCACTTCCCTCACCGCCACCACCACC